ATTACTTTATATTATTTCCTAAAAATTGCGATAATATGTAATAAGAATATTAGAAAAGATAAAGAAGTAAAAATATATAAAAATAATATAAAAATATATAAAAAAAAATAGGAGTAAATATATATTTTATAAATAATTTAGTATACTGGAGTTTACCTATAATAAAAATTACAAAAGAGAGAAATTAATTACATTACACAAGCATTTTAGATGAAAACATCCGTAACATGAACCCAATAAAAAAAATACTTGTGGAGAATGTACAAATGTTAAAAAAAAAAAAAAATACGAGGAATTAAAATAAAATTTAAAAAAAAAAAAATACATCCAATAATAAATAGTAATAATAATAATATATCGCAATTCGTTTCGTAATTAGTCATGAAAGACTGCACGTCTTAATTGGAACTGAACTCATTTCAGTTTTCGTTTTATTTTGCATTTCAATATAAACTCACTTCTGACAAGTGACGTTCATTGCAATTATTCAATAAAAATTTATAATAAATAGGCAAACAACTGTTTGTAGTAATCAAAAAATAAACTTTCATTTAACGTCTATCAAATATTACAAAAGGTTTGTATACACCTGTTTGTCTCATTAACTTTATAGTTACACAACGAAAAGTTATTAACAAATTATCAAAGATTGAACTTATGTTATTTATTTATTTATTTGACAATGGAAATAATAAAAATTGAATTTTATGTGATCGATGACATTTCAATAACGATTTATAATCGATTATAATATTTATCAATAAATTTATGGTATTGTTGGTTATCTTAAATTTATTATGTATAAAAATTAATTATTTTTAATTTGATAAAATGAAAAAAAAATTACCCTTACTTTTGATATTATCAAAATATACATAAATAAATATTTATTACATTACCTCACTCGACAAATTAACATTAATTAAAGCGTAGAAGTTTACGAAACCACGAAAGGTACCACGATTTCCGTTTTTCTCTCTCACTCACTCTCTCTCTCTCTCTCTCTCTCTCACTCTCTCTGTAATTAAATACTCGTGTAACTATTTATTTATATTTCTTTTATTCGTAATATAAAATTCTGTAATAAATCATTTATGCAAAATTTTATATGAGTAATATTATCGTACTTTAAAATTCATAATATTTATCAATAAATTAATTGTATTGTTAATTATCTTAAATTTCTTATGCATGAAAATTAAAATTATTTTTAACTTGGTAAAATGAAAAAAAAAATTACCCTTACTTTTGAAATTATCAAAATATACATAAATAAATATTTATTACATTACCTCACTCGACAAATTAACAAATTAACATTAATTAAAGCGGAGAAGTTTACGAAACCACGAAAGGTACCACGATTTCCGTTTTTCTCTCGCTCTCTCTCCCTCTCTCTCTTTCTGTAATTAAATACTCCTGTAACTATTTATTTATATTTTTTTATTCGTAATATAAAATTCTATGATAAATCATTTATGCAAAATTTTATATGAATAATATTATCGCACTTTAAAATTCAAATAATCTCTTCTACTTGTGTATCTCTGGTATGATTAAAACAAAATCATATATTCTCTTAAAACTCGTATTACATTTAAAAAAAATAAAATAAAAATAGTTCGTACACGTATGTATTTGTAAAATATCCAGGAACAATCGTATGTATTTTGATGAACTTATTGATCAATCTCGACCACGAGTTGATAACACGAAAACGTATAGGGTTGGCTGATAAGAATTGTCTCGTAGATGTGTTGTGTTCACCATTTCGTAAAAACAAAAGCATATATGCACGTTCCTACATTCTTTTAATGGGAAAATTTTCGTGTGACACCGATGCTTAAAACCAGCTGTTTAAACTTGCTATCTGTTCTTTTTGTCTCTTTTTGTTGAATATTTACCCAAAGGTATCTCAAACTTTGGAAAACTAGTTTTAACGTTAACTACGTAATTAACGTGATTTACGAAAAAGAACGAGAAATGAAAAAAAAAAAAAATGAAGATTGAAAGAGCGATATAAAAAAAAAAAAAAAATAAATAGGAAGAGATAAAAACGAAAGAAAGATAAAAAGAAAGAAAGAAAGAAAGAAACTGGTAGAATGATGGCAATGTTTAAGAAAAGAACAAAACAAAGTAAACGAATTCGCAGTGGAAATTAACGTCGAAGGGTGGTTAGAAGAGTTTCTTTGAGGATTGCGAGTTGATAGGGGAGTTTGGTGGAGGGGTGGGATAGGTGGGTGGTGGTGTTAGTCGAGACAAGTTGAACATTGGCTTCATTTAACCTAATGGAAAATTCTTGTCGTATATAAAATCGTCGTGTGATTGCTTTAATTGTTGCCTATCACTTTAAAAATAAGAAATATCGAACATATATATGTGATTTTTATTATTAATTTTAAAGGGTCACAATTTATTTGCTTATTTTCGAATTTTTTTTACAATAAATACGATTATATTAATTTATAATACGATATATTAGAAGTTATTATAATATTATATAATATTTAAATTAAATTAATAATAATTTCGAAATTTTTTACAATAAATACTCTATTTAACTTAATAAATTATATATATAAAATATTATAATATTATATAATCAATTAAATTATTATATTATATTATTAATTATATTATATATATATATATATATATATATATAATTATGTTATAAAAATATAAAATAATTAATTAAATTAATAATATTTATTATAATATTATATCTTATTTATTATAATAATGATTTGAAAAAAAATATTTAATTTATATTCATCACAAAAAATCTTCTTATACGGTAAGGGTGGTTTCTTTGAAATAGGATGTAATTTTTATGAAAAGAAAATTAATCTTTTTTTTATTTTTTTTTTATTTTTTAAGTATATATGGTTAGACGTTTTTAAATCAGAAAAGGGTAGAAAAAGAATTCTGTCAGCTTATATAACAGGTAATTTTATTCCTTTCAAGTGAATTTCTATCCAACAAAAAATGATCCTTTACATAATTGATGTACTCTTGATATATACGTGTACTTGCAAAAATTGTATTAAAATCAGAATTTCAAAGTTGGAAAGCTTCTCTTATTTTAAATGCAAAAAGGTGCAAATTTTTTCATCCTAGAATAAAATGAATCTCTACGATTTGTTTGATATCTGATTATTTTCCTGGAAACATTTGTTATATATCGTTGCAACTAATAACTTTTAATATTATTATCATTTTAACGAGCAATATGCATTATAAATTCATCATTTAATAATAAATTATTATTAATGAAATATAATTATGATTGTAAACAAATGTAATTACATATTTGCAGCTATAATGATAATAAATGCGACCGTTTGATAAGATGAAGAAATAAAAAAGAAAGGTGAAAAATAAACTTTGAAAGTTATATTTTTTTAATTGATACTTCAAAAAATTCAATTTAAAAATCAATTTAACATAACTTACTTCACAAATTTGTGTTATTTTTGTTTAATTATTTAAATAATTTATAATATTTATTTGAAAGAAAATATGTAAAGAAGGTTACCCAGGTTATCAAAGTTTTTACAATAATTTTTTTTTTACCATTCGATTAATTATTGATGTGTATTTATTTATTTATTTATTTAAAATAAATTCGTTCGTTTCAATTAACGTAACATTTTTGATAGAATTTAAAATCAATCCTCGATCGAGATAAAATCTAGATAACTTCATCGGATAAATTCTATACACACACATACACACAATACGAATAATACACATAAAACTGTAACTGGAATTTTACGAACTCGATGAAAATCTATCAAAGGTGATAGCTGAAAGGTATAAAGATAATCGTATCTATATATATATATATATATAAAATACGAGTTGAATTTCTCTACACTTCTCTTTTTTCTTTCGATAACATTTTGAAGGGTTTCAAACGATTATTGGAAATTGTCGAAACTATTGAGAAGTGTACAAACGTCGGAAAGTGATAGCAGATAAAATAGTTTTCCTTTTTTTTCCCTTAAAGATCTTTCTCACAAACGACGATGAAAGAAAGTCTTTTTATTTGGCGTATTTTTATACTTGAAAAATACTACTAACCTATTTTAAAGAAGGACTTTCTTGTAAAAGTACTTTCATACTTTTTATTTATAAAGTATTAGGTATAGAAAAACAAGAAAAAATAATAACTACTTTAAAACATATATATTATTAAATATTAGTAAAAAAATATTCTAAGATAAAACGTAGAATTATTTAAATAAATTAATAAAGGAATAATAGAATTATTTTTCTTTTTTTTTTGGTACAATTATCTACATTCTTCTATTTATGGTCTAATAAAAAATATATACATATATTTATAATAAAATAATACAAATTATAAAATGTAAAATAAAAAATATAAAATAAATAAAATACAAATATATAAAAATACAAATATATAAAATATATTTTTATATGTATACTACTATTACTAAACATTATTATTATTATATACGTATGTAACAAATTTATAAAATAAAAAAATAGAAATATATAAAAATATATTTTATATATTTTATTTAAAGAAATATTTATATTTCACTCTGTCAAGCAATAAATCAATTTTTAAATATATATATACATTATCAATAATAATTTATTTGATATTTTATCGTTGTGGTTAAGGCTCGCGGTTACTTTGAACGAAAATTTACGTGAGTCGTCTATAATATCTTCCATATCGCATATTACGCGCCAAAAAAAAAAAAAGAAATAAAATAAAATTAAAAAAAAAGAGAAAAGAACACATTGCAGTTAAGGTCATACCATTTTACTTTTTTTTTATCCCTTGACCTGATATTTTAATATCTTTTCTTGATATTGTTTAGCTTAAATCAAACTCACGTTCTTCATTTCGATAAAAAAAAAGAATAATTAATCAAACGTTTTATATTTATGGTATTATTATACTCCTCGTTCGTTCTACTATTTCACAAAAAATTATGAATTTAATTTTTTCAATGTTACAGAAAGAAAAATCTACGTCAACCGATGTAATTACTGCTGGACTGACAGAATCGGTACTAAATGTTACTGTATAATTTTTAAGAAGATATATAAAATGAAGAAAAAAAAAATAAATAAATCAAAGTATCCATTCGATGGTTTATGTATTTGTTTTAATTTTTTTTTTTTTGCATTTTTGACGTTGTACATACGAAAAGAAAAAAAAAATTACAACCATACAAGTGTCATGAAATAATTTATTACAGTCAATGCAATTGTAAACGAGTGAATGATATAAATAATTATAATAATATTAATCATATAAATAATTAAGATAAATTTGAAATAAAACGAAGAATATATTTAATGACAAATATTTAAGATCTAAATCATCGAACATCGATAATTAGAAATGATTACGATGAAAATCATTTTTTCGTCGTTTTCAAATTAATTAATTAATTAATTATTTTAAATATGTAAATATTTCTTGTAAGTAAGAAAAAATATATATATATATATGAAAGAATAATAAAAAGAATATATTATAAAGTAATGAAAAAAACAAAAGAAAAGATTGTTTAATAATTTAAATATAAAATAAGAGGAATTAAATTTTAAGAAATTTATCCGATGACTTAAAATCTTGAAAAACAAAATTTCTAAACGCTTTAATTAAACTAGCACTTTATATATATTAATTGTTAAAATAATGATTATTTACATCGACTGATTGTAAACGAATTGATAGAACGAACTTTCAATATTATAATTAATTAATTATAATAACTATATCGAGAGATTTATTGTTTAAAATAAGTGAAAACTTTTTTGTGTGTCGCATATGAGTGTGTGTGTGTATATATATGTATGCATGTTTGTATGTAACATCTACGAAAAGAAAACGGTTTAAACAAATGTGAAAAATTGCGGACGAGCCCACCGCTTTTTTCCACTAAATAAATTTAAAAAAAATTAAAAAAAAAAACAAAGTTTGAACTGTTTTCTTTTCTAAACAAACAAAAATTAAAAAAAATTCTAGTATTTTACCATAATGTTAAAGAAAGAATTAATATGAAAAAAAAAAATAAACAAACAAATAAACAAAAAAAAAATCGATCGACAGCAAAATTGTATAGTGTATTGTTAATAAAGATAAATCAAAAAATTATGTTAATAATAATATGTAATTTCTAATCTATGATTGATTTTTACAAACTTTTATTATCACATTTAAAAATTATTTATATTATTTATTTATAGATAAGAAGAAGTTTATTTCAGGTATACCCTTTTAGGGTGTTTACCCCGGAGGCCCCCCCTACATGTTCGTTCCCCTTGACAATATACTTAATTCTAATTATGCCCTAATATAATATTAGCTATTAGTATTAACAATATAAAACATTATAAAACAATATAAACAACATTAAACAATATACCACATTTAGTAACTATATAGACTATATAAAACTCTAACATATATATACTTCATATTCCTTACATCTATTTCCTTATATGTCTAATTGTTCCACTCACACTCTGYCTATCTTCTCGTTCCCCCCTCCCCCCTATCCTGGCCCATTTTCCTGGCTAGCCTTTCGAAACCTCTCACATATGCACACAGTTGGGGTACCGGTTCCCCCTTCAACGCCATTTCTACTCTTCTATCTATTTCTTCGCCTCCCCTCTCCCCGATCCACTTCTCTAGGTTCTCCACTACTGCTTTCCCCATTTTTTCCTTTATTTTCCTGCATCTACATATGTGCCCCACGTTCTCCAGCTCTTCTCCGCAAATCCTACATCTTACGTCACTGTATCCCTTATTGCCCTCCYTTCCCACATTCCCGCACCTGAGTCTCGCCCAGGTTTCCTTCGTTCTAGCTGTTAAATTCCCATTTTCCCAATATTTCTCTGCTTCTATTGAATGTTTTCTATTTTTGTATTGCCCACAATACGTTGATTGGTCGATTTTGGTCCAGTCTTGTTGGATTTCCTGGTCTATCTTTGTTTTCTTTGCTCTTTCTATTATCTTCTTCACTCCCTCTCGATCGCCATTTGCAATCGCTCTCCACAAACCTCCTTCGCCAACTTCCTCCATCGCTTCTTGGACTTCCCTTCCCCATTTCGTTGGGTTTCCATTAAGAACCCCCCTCGCTTCTTCCTTGAGACATTTTCTTGGCCATCTTTCCTCCCYCATTTTCATTATTTCTACTAAGTAGTTACCCGCTCTTTTCCATATTTCTGTCGTCACGCTTCTACGTCCCGATTCCATCCTCCATATGTAGTTCGGCGTATTACTACTCAAGCCCATCGCCATCYTAGTGTACCCTCCCTGTAACCTCTCTGTTGCCTCTCTTCTCTTCCACCCCCACATATTATTTATTTATATATTATATAATAAGTTATATAAAAATATAATTAATAATTTATTCTTAATTATATATAATTTTCAATGTCATCCAATTAGAAAGTACTTTTTTTTTTTTTTAGTATTTTTAATCATTAAATTTTTTATAATTCATTTTATCCATCATTAAAAATTTCTAAAATGAATAAAACATTACGAGATAAGATCTTTTTAATTTCTTTTTTTTTTTTTTTTAATTTCATGGTAACAAAAAGTGAAAACAAATTTTCATTGATGACTCGAAGAAAGATAGTAAGAAAAAATAAAGAGAAAATCGATTATTCATTCGGTATAATTTTGTTGATGAGACAGAAAGATTAAAGCTTTTCCCTTAATGAGGTGGAGGGGGTAGTTATATACTTGTATGCATACTAGGAAGAGAAAATAACGAGCGTGTTGATAACGGAAGAATTACTAGCCCTTCTGTGAAAAATTAATGTTCCGTAAAAACGAAGCTACAGGATTATTATTTTTCTTTTATACCTTTTATACCCTTTTTTTTTTTTAGTAGTTCATTCATTACTCGATATTCAAGGTTCATGTGTCAAAAATGATTTATAATTCTAATAAAAATCAAGAACGGTTGAAATAATGTTATATTATCTTTCTATTAGTTTCTTTTTATTTTTTTTTTGCAATTTATTCATTACTCGAATAGTCAAGATTTCTATTTCAATGGTGATTAATAATTCTAATAAAAATCAGGAAGGTTGAAATAATTTTATATTATCTGTCGATCAGTTTCTTTTTTTAATTACTTTTTTTGTAGTTTATTCAATAATTGAATAGTCAAGATTTCTATTTCAATGGTGATTGATAATTCTAATAAAAATCAGAAACGGTGGAAATAATTTTATATTATTTCTCTCCTATTAGTTCCTTTCTCAATGAACAAAATTATTATAAATAATATTTAAAAATTTATAGTTGTTCGTTATTAATAATTATTTAATACAATATCCTAAACATTAAACATTTTAAATTATTCTACAATATTATATATATATAATTTTTATTATTTTATTATTTATATTATATAATATATAATAATTTATATATAAAATATATAAAAAAAGAATTATATAATTATATAATATATTATATATAATTTTAAATAATTATTATCCCACGAGTTGACAAAAATAAAATTGAAACAACGAAGTATTCATTTTGAACCCTTTTCAACATAATTTTCGTTAACTTAGCACAAATTGGGTAAATACAAAAAAGTGATACATTTATTTGTTGAAATGTTCACGAATAAAGTAAAATCAAAGTAAAACACACGCAAAAGCAAAAGCAAAATTGCAACTAACGTAAGTAAGAGTTACAGTTGAAGAGAAAGAAAGAAAGAACGAAAGAAAGATAACAATTTTGATCCTCTAAATGGGCATCTGTCGGGTAACTATAGTTTTTCTCTCCTCGTCGAAAGGATTAAAGTGCGCTTTTACGATGGACCATAAAATTAAAAGGACTTAGGTTTAATGTGAGAGAGTGCATCGTTGCTAGATCGTAAATATCGATGTCTTCATATCCGCAATCATACATCGCAAACTCTTCGTTTAAAAGTTTATTTCCAAAATTTTCCTGACGATTTTATTACGATGAAATATATACAAAAAAAAAATAAAAAAATGAAAATGATAAATGAAACATAGAAAAAAATCTAAAAAAAAAAAAAGAAAAGTAAAAATTAACAAGAAAAATATTAAAATAATTAATTAATGATTATTAAATTATATTTTACTAAAATATTATTAATTACTAAATTAAATATATGTTA